TCTTCCCCCCTTTCTGTGGTATTCCTGGCACCGTCTTTCCGTGTATCTGCAGTGGTAACAGTACCAAGTTTCTTTTCACATTTTTCGCACACCACCCTCCCCGGTCCCCTTAGCCGCAGAAGCGGTGGCAGCTTAAAAACATCAATCGGAAACATGCTTATTTTAAATCAGAATTGTAGATGTCAGATTAGCTTCTATCCTTTGAGGATGGGGTGAGTGTGATGGAAGAAAAATGCTCCTAATTCTGTAAGTGTTTTATAAAACTTTAAGTAACTAGTTACTGCTGACTCCCACTTTTACTCTTGCCACCCCCTGTGGGTGGCAGCTGGGGAGCAGGCTGAATAAGATGAGTAGCTGCTGCTAAAATTACTTCCCTCTCAAATAAACACAGTCGAGTGAGCTGTCCAGGTAAGGATACCAGTAGGTAAAACATATGAGTAGATTAAAACATTCGATGAATTGGCATTTTTCAAGTAGTGTAGTTGGAGAAATGCTAATAAGTTCAAGCAATACCCTGAGATTTTCAAGTATGCAGGCTTAGTATAGTCTATTTATTTATTTAGTCCCAATTTCCCCCATAGTGACTGCATCCTACTCCCTCCCAAATCTTCCACTGAGAATCTAGTTAGATCATTTCTGATTATTATTCACTAAATTTATATTTAGCATTTTTTGCGGTATTATTAATATTAGGAGGCGTTCTATTACAGTGGTAACCAGAAGTACTATATGTACAGTTTAGTTTCTGCCAAGATCATAATTTTCTAGCTCTGAATTCATGAAAGTTGTAGCCTTCTTGTGCTGTAACTCACTGACTATGGCATATTCAATCAAAATTCTAACTCAGGAAATATTTTCTTTAATTGAACATTATATTAAAGGATACTCAGACTTCATTATCTTTACAAGACCTTTTACTATACCAATTGTGACATAATTAGTTCTTAATTTTCAACACTGTACCTTTACATTAATTAACTGGTCCACTTCCTTTTTTAGTCCTATAGATTTACTCAGATAAAAATATTGTTTTAGTCAATATGGTCATTTTAAAAAATGAGTGATTCTGTTAAATTTCTTTTTGCCAGTGTTTTTATTTAATCACTATATGTAGATATTGTATTTTTGTGGTCTTTAACTCATTGCTAGGATAATTACAACTTGTTTTAGACTTTATATGTTAGCAATTATATAGTTTTGATTTGTGTGTTGTTGTTTTTGTAGATTGAGAGCAAAACTGAGTACCGCCTCAGACCAGTGAAGATTTCCTGAGATATCTGGAATCTAATGTATCTGATAATGAAAGCATTTCTGTTCTTATTACCTACTGAGTCAGCCAATAGAATGTTGAAGTTAACACAACTTTCTTGTTTTGTGTGTCCATGGCTGGGTAGTTGTATGCGTTGTTCTCTGTAGCCTCTGACTATTTTAATTTCATTTGGTAGAATATGTTAACGTTGATACCATGTCCTCCACCCCCACACCCCCCCCCCCCGCCTTGGCATGAGAATACCTTGAGCCTCCTGAGTGTTGGAAAGTTTTCCTGGGTTGGATTTTGTGAACTTTTGAACAGGGAAGCAGTAAAAGAAAGGGATGTGGCTTATGCGTTTGACAGTAAGTAGATGCAGTCTGCATTTACGGACATTAGATTCCGTTATCAATGAGGTGCAAATACCATGGATTTGGGTCTTCATAGGTTGGGGTGGGAAATAGGTAGAGAAGGGATTACAGTCATATTAATGCCTGATGATCAGGTTGTAAACCAGGTAGGAAAGGCAACCACAGGGTCTTCAGGAGCAGAACCCTCTGAGAACTTCCCAGCTTCAAGGATTGGATTGACTGCTTTCTTTCCTCCCTCCTGCTATTCAGTACCTTCTGTTCGTGCTGGGTTTTCTTTAGCTCCAGAAGAAGGGAAAAGAAAACAGAACACGTTGATTTCGAAGTTAAAAACAATCTTTAAAAGTTCTAATAGAGTCAACCCTGTGAGGACAAGTCTGGGAAGGTTTGCTTGGTGCGTATGTCGGATTGGTGAGAAGGATTAGTCAGACTGCCCTCATGTTCTGTAGAAAATAGTGCTGACAGTCCACTTTCCCAGGTTTGAAAGGGCTTGAGGAAGTGAGATAAAGAGATGAGTTGAAAGGAAACGTGGGATGAATAGAAACATCTTAAAGGAGTTGAAATTGTTTAGAAGAAAAAGAAGATCCAGGTACTTAAAATAGTATTTAAAAATCTGGTTCTTTACTGAGGGGTATAAAAGGTTATATTAATTAGTTATTGATTTTTATAAGGATCATATGTGCATGATATAGTGAAAACCTGTCTCCCCCTCACTCCTTTTCTGTGTTTTTTTCCTTTGGAGACAACAACTGTCATTGGTGCTGTCCTTCCATAGATATCCTGCACATGTCTAGTCATGCATGCTTCTTCTTCGTCTTCTTCGAAAATGTGAATTGCAGCACTTCATAGACACTATTCCATACCTTTATCTCTTTCTTCTTTGCCTTAAAGTGGCCTTAGGGTTTTGTTCCATGTTATGGCCAGTAGGGCTGCCTTGTGTTTCTCATTTAACTGTATACTAATAGCATTCCATTCTATGGCTAGCCCATAATTGAACTATGTAATTTTCTGTTAATGGGCAAGTAAGGTTGTTTTTGCTATCTCTATTTTGTGATTATGAAGTTTACTACAATGAATATTTCTGTTCATCTCTTATTTCCACATGTAAAAAATAATGGAATGTCCTAGAAGGGGAATTGCTGAGCCAAAAATATGTGCATTTTGAATTTTGGTAGATTTTTGCCAAATGGTCTTGCACAGAGGTTATGTCATTTTATATTCCCATCAACAGTGTATATTTACTTTCCCACATCTTGTTTCAGTTTGTTAAAACCTTTAAAAATCTTTGCCTGATAGATTGAAAAAGGCATCTTATTGTGTTTTTTGCTTTTCTATTATGAGTGAAATTAAATACTTAACTATGTTTTAAGGTCCTTTTATATTTTTCTGTTATTATTCTGTTTATGCTCTTTGCCTGTTATCTTCTGGGTTGTTGAGTCTTGCATATATGTAGGCACCCTTTATATATTACTTGCTATATACTAGTATATATCTCCAATATATTTTTTGTTTGGGGAAGATTTTAAAATTTGTAAAATTTTAAATGGTTTTTAATGGTTTTAGGGCTTCTTAAAATTATAGTTAGAAAGGACTTTTCCCACTGTGAGATAAAAGCTTTCCTATAGTTTTCTTTTATAGTTTTATTTTTTCATTTTAATCTTTGATCCATTGGAAATTTATTTTGCGGATGGAGTGAGGGAGGTATTAAATTTCATCTCCTCAGAATCTTTGGAATATGATAGGGGATTTATGGCATAGAGAGATCTCAGTAATACATTAATTTTTAAAATGATTATTCAGGCCAAAATTTGCTATGGATTTGTCTTGAGTGGAAATTATTAGACTAGTTTGCAATATACCTCTGTGTAAATTGTTCAGGAATTTTTTCCATATTTGTTGCTATCAAGAACCATTTGTTTTCTAAATGTATTCCCAGGCTTGAGAATGAATTTTGGTTTCTAGCAGAAATACATTTGATGATCACAGTCAGTAGATTAAAATAATACAGAGTTTTGAAGCAGTAAGATTAATACAGTAACACATTATGTAAGTTATAATTTTATAGGAAAGAAAAAAGTACAGTATTGTATAAATAAAGTCAGCTAGAAGGTCTCTTTTCCTTATTTTCAAGTATGAAAATTCAAGGGTATCCTAGTGGATGCCTTTAAATTTTTTTTTATCTGATCAGATTTCATAGATAATCAAGGCCCCATTAAAAGCAGAAACCTATGACTAGTCATTGGTTGATTGGTCAACCTATGAAAGTCATTTTATTGCTGTTACAGATGCTATACTTTTCACTCAATTCCCAGAAAGTCATTTTATTGCTACTATTGGCATCTGTATATTAAATTATGTGCAAAAATGTTGCATGCTTTTTATTTGATATAATTTTTGCATGCTTTTTATTTGATATAATTTTTGCATGCTTTTTATTTGATACTAGAAGCCTGATGCACGAAATTCATGCAAGGGGCTTGGCCCTCGCAGCCCGACACTTGTTCTGCTGTGGACAGACAAGCTTGGCTGTGAATGTCCTACTTTGGATACCTGAGCAAAGGTGTAGATGGCAGTTCTTGTTGAGGGGAAGGCCATGGACAGACAAGCTTGGCTGTGAATGTCCTACTTTGGATACCTGAGCAAAGGTGTAGATGGCAGTTCTTGCTGAGAGGAAGGAAAGGTGGGTGTGTTACATTAGAAGGCATGAGGTTGGCCCGGTCCCTAGACTTACCTTGTCTATAAATTGTGATCCTCCTTACCTGTGAGGTCTATAACTGCGCCTCTCAGCATGGTTGGCCCAGGAGAGCTTTACCCATAGTGTTACCTTTTCTAGTTTTCCTGTTTATTTTTCTTAATTCTGAAATAGCAAAAACATATAAGTGAGAGAAGCATGCAGTTTGAATACATCTAATGTTAAGTGGACACGTTCAGTTAAGAAGAGACAAATGGTGATGAAATAAATAATAAAGAATGAGCCGAAACCGGTTTGGCTCAGTGGATAGAGCGTCGGCCTGCGGACTGAAGGGTCCCAGGTTCGATTCCGGTCAAGGGCATGTACCTTGGTTGCGGGCACACCCCCAATAGGAGAGATGTGCAGGAGGCAGCTGATGTTTCTCTCTCATCGATGTTTTTAACTCTCTATCCCTCTCCCTTCCTCTCTGTAAAAAAATCAATGAAATATATTTAAAAAAAAAAAAAGAATGACTGAAAAGTCCCCTTCCTTTGGGCTCTGCATTGGCTTATGTAGGTCACCTCCCAGGGCCTCGGGCAGTGGGCGGGGTCTGATGTCACAGGTGTAGCAGTCAGTGCAGTGAGTATGTGGTGTGTGATTTCCTGTCTTCCCCACTGTAATTAACCCGGCGCGTAATAGACTGTGGCCGGCATGGTCACATATCACTGGTGTGCCAGCCACGCACCCGAGTGCAGGTAAATAGAGCTGAACAGCCTGAACACTGGCGTTCCTGATTCCATGCCTTGAGGTACACTTTGGACGACAGGATGGAGACCGAGAGTGAGAGCAGCACTTCAGGGGATGACAGTGTCTTTTGGTTGGATTCTGAAGTTGTCAGCCAGGTGACTGACAGTGAAGGGGGAGGAAGGGAAGAAACTTGGAGGTAATTATGGAATCCCCAGTTCTCTCTCTCTCTCTCTCTCTCTCTCTCTCTGTCTCTCTCTCTCTCTCTTCACCCCCACGCCCCCTTCCCATCCTCTGTGTTTTCATCTCTTCTTAGTAAGACTTTCTGTTCTCTGGGGGATGGTTTGGTGCTGTAAGAGGACAGGTTTCTAGTTGTATATCACGCTCTTCACTCCCCAGCTCGCCCTGAGCTTGTAAAATGCATGAGAAATGACTTGTTGGAACACCAGGAAGAGAAGGTGTCAGACAGGTTCTGGAGTGGCATTTCAGGAATTTCAAGTAGAGACTCCGAGTGAACTACTACCCCTTCCTGTGCCTGATTTGTATCGGAGAGATTTAATCTGAATTTGAATATAATAGGACTTTCTTTCTCTATTTTTAGAATATGTGTGTGTGTGTGTGTGTGTGTGTGTGTGTGTGTGGCTGCTTTTGGTGCCTTATTCATGTGTATGAAACATTTTCATTAAGCATAAATTCATTATTTCATGGCTTTAATCCTTAATCTTCTTTCTGGCCTTATGGCTCCCTCCCTCTACCCCCACCAGTCTTGGTTTTGGATCTCTGACTGTAACTCCACGATTCTCCAAGTTGGAGAAGGCCTCTTGACTAAGCAGCTCTCCAGGTTCAATGGTGGTGAAGAAAGAGTTCTCACTCAGCCTGTGGACACAGGGCCATTTGTTTGTTAATTCTGTTGCACTGTTACAGATTTTAGGAGGCTTGATTTTGGCTTTTCTTTTTCAAAAAGGCTTAGCAAATTAAAGTTTTTTGGAGGCATGAACAAAATCTCTGGGAGAGTGTGTAGTACAGATTATCACTGCCACCCACATGGGCAATTAAACATCATTTATAATTTTACCTGTGAGTTCTCGGGTAGGTGAACATACCATTATTTCCATCAGATCTTGTCTTTGTGTTTAGTGTTCAAAAAGAGTATCTCTCTTTCTCAAGGTAAAGGATTTCTGTATCCACAGATTTCATTTTTAAAGTCTGGGTTAAATGACAAAAGGGATTGGATATTGGGATCTCTTGATAACTCACACTAAATTAGCTAATCAGTGGTTAAAACGAATAAGACATGTTTTAAATTTTGAAAAATAATTTTAATGTTCAAAGGAACTATTTTATGAGCACATGGCATTCTTGTGCGAACTTTCTCACTCTCTCCATGACTTTATTTAGTCTTTCTTTTTTGAGTGTGCCATTTTTCTCCCAAGGTTGCTGGAGTTACTCACATTCCTTAGTTTTCAGTGTGGTCATTCTCACGGACAATCAGTAGGAGTAAAGTATTTATTTTGTTTGCATTGATACTGTTTGACCCGGTATTAAAATTGTGGGGTATTTGTCCAAGGAAGAAAACAACCTGGACTCTGTTGTTGTAATAGATTCGGTGCTGTGAGCCTCCATTAACTTGTTAGGCAACAAGAGCCTTCCTGGGCATGTGCCCCGACTGTGAATAGAACCAGTGACCTCTTGTTTCCTGGGTCAATGCTCAACCACTGAGCAGCACCAGCCGGACAAGGATACTTCTTCTTACATCTAGCACTGTGGGAAGTTGCCCAATCTCCTTCATGGCAGTAGTTCAAAGGTGTCTACCACTGAGTCACAGATCTCTAATTTTCTAATTTCTTACTTGTAGAGGGAAGTTAATGTCTCCCATTTCTCTATGGTAAGATAGTTCTTGGACTGAATATTTAAAGATCATTAGAATCCTTAGAATAGAATAGTCCTTAGGGATTATCAGAAGGGGAATGTGAGGCAGAAAAGGAAAAACAAATGTTTTAATTCTTTTAAGAAAGAAAAATTCTACTCAGGAGTTGTTATATGCAGTGTACTAACCCAAATATGTTATATACAGAATATTCATTATCTACTCCTATACAGTAAGTCTTATTTTACCTATTTTCCAGATTAAAAAATTAAAACTTATAAGGCAATTGACCTTATTGTCAGAATACAGTAGAGCAAAATTCTGAACTCAGGTGTAACTGATGTTGAAAGTGAAAGACTAGTTTTAGAAAAGATTTTTGATATGTCTGCTGCCAAGTGTTATGCTCTGGTCAGTAGTAATAACTGCTGGAGGCTGTAACAGATAAGCCCTTTTTTGTGAGGAGTTTTGAGCACCCATGATGTATAGATATGTAACCAATATAAAAGTGAGTTAATGCATACAATCATGTGACCTTATAAAGATAAGACCTCTAGGATACCTAGCAATCATTCCTGACTCACAATCACGAAAAGTTCTAGTTCTTTGGCGTTTGAGGGTAGGAAGGGTTATTATATAATCTTTCTTATTTTTTATAGAATCTTTCTTAGTCTTCTCTAACATCACGTTATTGGCAGATAACATAGCCTGGCAAGTAGGACATGTAGTTTGAAACCGTTACAGAGATGATATGGTGCATAATTGAACCACATTTTTAGAACTATCTTTTTTTTTATTTTTTAATCCTCAACTGGGGACATGCTTAGAGTGAGGAAGAGAGAAGGAGAAAGAAAGAGAGATTGCTGTAAGAGAGAAACATCAATCAGTTGCCTTCTGTATGTGCCCTCACCGAGGATCGAACCTAATCCCAGGTATATGCCCTGACCAGGAATCAAACCTGCGACTTTTCAGTGCATAGGACGATGCTCAACCAACTGAGCTACTTCAGCCAGGCAGAACTTGTATATCTTTAAAATCAGAGTCTGCAGATGCCCGGATCTCTCAATCAGATCTTCACTTTATCTACATTGAAGGTAATTGATTTTAAAAGAGACAAGAAACTTCTAACTTCCATTACACTAGATGATTTGGTGAACATATTTTAATTTTCTTGGCATGTCTATTGCTTTATAGCATCCCAGGACTAATACAGTCCAGGAACTCGATTGGTTGGTTGCTTTATTCATGCGCTGCCTTATTTAAAACTGTACCATAAGTTAGATGTTGCAGCAGTAGAAATAGGTAACAAGGGCTTGGAATGTGATGTTATATTTCTTCTCATTCTTGTTTTTAATCACATTGAGGACAGTTTACTTTAATGGCTAAATTCTTCTGAAGTTCCTGCTTTTAATACCTTGACTGTTCCTTTGTCTTCTGTAGAAATTCATGATTTGGGGGTTCTCAATCACTTTTTATGGGCTTGGAAGGCTAGAGAGGTAGCATTAGCAAGTAACTATTGACATATATGCCAATATCATACTCTGAAACTACTTATCCTTAATAATCTATTATGTACAATGCCAAAAAAGATGTGTATTTTTGCAAAAAAGGTTATATTTATATTACTTTATAACCTTTTATGTGTGATCTAGAGTATAGTTTAGCCGTTCACATATTCTTTTAATATGTGAAATATAACTTGCACCTAACATACCCCTACCAGTGTTAGAGAAAAATAATAAATTTAATTGTAAACAGCAGAGTCTTATGTGAACATTGCTTTATCTCAGAAAATTTTATGCCATATTGGAGTATAGCCATTAGCCTGACTGCCTTTATAATCTGTGAAATGAATCTGTCTTAATCATGGGGCATGCTAGTACAAGACTCTCTTGGTATTTCAGTCATTAAACTCTTTGCAATGGAATCTAAGGTGAGCCTTTTTTATATCTGTCTGTATAAGGTTTTTGAAGTTCAAGACAGGACTTAGAGCACAGAAACTATATAAAATTTCCTAGTTATTAAGTTGTTTATTCACAGTTAAAACTTTAAAAACCTATTTTTCCTTAACTTTTGCATTCAACTTAAACATTAAACTCACTTAAAACAGTCAATTGTATGTTGAAACTTAGTAAATAAAAATTTCTGAAACATTTAAAATTCTGTTTATAAATGTCATATACTAAGTTTCCTTAAAAAAAAATCATGTGACTACCCTAGCAAGATTATATCTCCCTCTTAAGATTTTCAGAATACTCATACTTCCTCTTTCTCTCAATTCCCTTCTGCCTAGATGAGACTTTCTGCATTCTTTATTTATCACCATTCTCCCCGACCCCAGTCATAGTTTTTTGTTGAGATTTAATATTTTTATCATTCATTCAGATATAATTATACAGGCATACCTCAGAGATATTGTGCGTTTGGCTCCAAACCACTGCAATAAAGTGAATATTGCACTAAAGCAAGTCACATGACTGTTTTGGTTTCCTAGTGCATGTAAGTTACGCTTACACTATACTGTAGTCTATTAAGTGTGCAGTAGCATTATGTCTAAAAAACCCCAATGTACCTGCCTTAATTAAAAATACTTCATTGTTAAAAAATGCTAACTATCTCCAGGCTGGTGTGGCTTAGTGGTTGAGCATCGACCTATGAACCAGGAGATCATGGTTGGATTCCTGGTCAGGGCACAAGCCTAGGTTGCGGGCTCAATCCCCAGGAGGGGGCGTGCAGGAGGCAGACAGTCAATGATCTCTCTCATCATTGATGTTTCTCTCTCTCTCTCTCTCCCTTCTGCTCTGAAATCAATAATAATAAAAAAAATGATAACTGTCACCTGAGACTTTAGCTAGTCATAGTCTTTTTGCTCGTGGAGGGTCTTGCCTCTGTGTTGATAGCTGCAGGCTGATCAGGGTGGTGGTTGCTGAGCGTTGGGGTTGCTGTGGCAATTTCTCAGTGTATGATAACAATGAAATTTGATGCATTGATGGACTCTTCCTTTCACGAATGCCTTCTCTGTAGGATGTGATGCTATTTGAAAACATTTACCCACAGTAGAACTTCTTTCAGAATTGGAGTCAGTTCTCTCAAACCCTGCTGCTGCTTTATCAACTCAGTTTGTGTAATATTCTAAGTCCTTTGTTGCTGTTTCATCAATCTTTACAGCATCTTCACCAAGGGTAGATTCCATCGGACATCCCTCTCACAATCCGGGACCGCTGGCTCCTAACTGCTCGCCTGCCTGATTGCTCCTAACCGTTTCTGCCTGCCAGCCTGATAGCCCCCTAACGGCTCCCCTGCTGGCCTGTTTGATGCCTAACTGCTCCCCTGCC